TTCACTTAAACTACTTAGCAATCACTTGATGCTACTAACCTACTGTACTGTACATCAGTACTTTGTGTAAAAGACTGGCTCGTTAGCAATTTAACCTACATTGGCAACTATTTATGGAAAGGACTTATTCTTGATGGGAAAAAATGTTGCAGCTATATTAAGGGGAGAGGCTGACCACACAACAAGGTCTGCAGCAAATCATAGGCTACTAGGCCTTTTTTCACTTGCTTGTGAACACTTTAAAAGGTGTTTAATAGTGCACAATTGACCTGTACAAAAATGGGAGAGGAAATGAAGAATACTGTGTCCTTGAAGACTGCAGGGAAATTCTGAAGCAGGCAGAGAGCAATTACTTTAATTGGAATGTGGCCAAGACATCAGGCTTATTTTTTTAGAGTGTTTCATGGGAACTATAATGACTTGCATGGTCAAACCCTTGAATTTGCATAAAAACATGGTTCCATTCCTTCTGCTTCGCAGCATGTTAACCAGGAAGAATCTACATTATTTACACTCACTGAAAGCAATTCTAAAACACAGAATTAATTGGTGTTTTGCTTTAGTTAAGTATGCAGGATTGCACCTACTATTTTCATTCAGTGAGCCAGCTCTAATCTAAAAATGTAATCATTAAACCACAAACAAACTAAAATCCATGCTGGACTTATTTGGCATTAGCAGCCTTACAACCCCTTAAAGAAGACAGCCAGCAGAACTACCTTGCAGGAGAAACTAATTCCCAGTTCTGAGAATTCTTTAGTAAAGAGTTTATGATGCTAAAATAATGTGCTGCAACATTCCTCTTCAAAAACAATGCAGAACTACTTGGTAGATCCTACACTGGACTTCAAATGCCATATATAACTTTACCAATCACAGCTGAGATATCTCAAATCATTCACCAGTGACCCTTAAGAGTTAAATGGTAAACTTATGATCATATACAATATAATAAAAGCATTGCCATTGTACAATATGTCCATCTAGTTTTATGGTACTGTGTGTTTTATTTAAAAAATAGAGTTCAAACTTCATTTTTAATAAGGTGCAACACGTTTATACCATTTTTTACAATTAAAAAACAAGTCAAAACAATATTTATTACTATTCAATCAATATATAGGGGTCTTGTACACTTCCTGAATAGTATTGTTGTCTGCTTCATTCCACTATAAAAATTAGTTGTTATTACAGTGACAGTCAGAGAAAGGTCTGGTTAATATTACCCATGTTTTGCACAGTAACAAAGGCCTCCTGGTGCAGATCAGTGCACTTACATATCAGAAGTTGGGTATAACTGAGCACAGTTCACACACAACCATGGTGTGAATACTAGACCACCATGGTTCACACACAACCATGGTGTGAATACTAGACTTTCAGTATTCAAAGATTGTATTCATCTACTCAGTTCAACATCATCTTAGTCCAATAACTGGAAAGCCAGCATTGAACTGTAGTTGCATATATTGAACATTATGGCTAGGTATAGATGTTCGTGAAGATTAGGGGAAGGTTAGATCATGTTAAAAATGGCCACCTGATCTAACTTAGTTCACTCAGGTTCAGACTTTACACTTAGATCCCTAGTTAGGTCAATCAAAGTTCAAACCGTACATAAGTTTAGGAAGTTTAGACTGGTCTAGAAATAGCGAACCCAATCTAAGTTAACCCTAACTTAGAGGTAGTCTAACTTAGATCAGGTCTAGCAAGACTGATCTAATTAATGTTCTGTATAGTTCCTGGACCAGCTCCAGGGCTGGGAAAGCCCAGCTGCTGGCCCAGGCCCCAGGGCTGCATTTTTCCGGCCCTCCCCGCCCCCACTTCCCCAGCCCCGGCACTAAGCTATTTTTAGCCTCCGAGACCCTTGCCCCACCCCCAGAAAGGTCACCTTTGCAGACCAGCCAACCCCTCTCAAGCCTGCCAAACCCCCCATTCCAGAAGCTGCTCTCAGGGCCAGTTTTACTGACATTTGCTGGTGCTGGGAGTCAATGGAAGTAAGTTGGGGTGGGTGGAGGGCCAGGCGGGATTGAGGGGGTTGGTTTGTAGGGAGAGGGGGTTGTTCACCTGGGGATGGAGAGGGTTGGGGGGTTAAAAATAGACCCTGGTCTTAGGGGAGAAAGAGCCACCCATCACGCTAACCCCTCCAGAGCCACCATTTCCCCCAGTTGTCTGCCCCCCCACCCCAACTTACTTCCATCAGCCCCTAGGGATCAGTGAATGGCAGTAAAACAAGCCCTGGGAGTCATTTTCAGGACTGAAAGAAGTGTGGCAGCATCAGGGGGAAGGGGGGTGGGATGGGGGACTGAGGGGACCAATAGTGGGTTGGTGGGATCAGAAAGCCTCTCCAATCCTGCCAACCCTGCCCCCAAATCTTCCCAGACCTCCTCCATGGACCCTGGTAGCCTCTCCAATCCCACCAAACTGTTCTGGATCCTACCAAGCCCTGAGAAGCCCCCACTTGCCCTCCTGATCCCCCAAGCCCCTCAGTGGACGATGCGTGCCTCCCCACTTCTTCCCAAGCCCCACCCACAGACCCCACCAGCCCCCAATCTCTTTCCAACCCTCCCTGCAGACCCTAATTGCCCCCCTAATCCCCCCCAAGCCCTCCCCAATTTAGCTTAGATTGGGTGGCCATTTTTAAATTGAATCTAACCTCCCCCTAACCTCCCTGGATGTCTATATGTATCCAAATGTTGAAATGACTACCAGACTCTATAACTACATCTTCAGACCAACGGAATTGGTTAAATATGTATGACTGAGATCTATATCTGTATCCATTACTCCTGAAATGCATTTTGAGCATACTATATATTGATAGAAAACACTGACTGAGAATAGTGTGTAAAGGGCTTGTGAAGGGAATGATGTAAGATGTAATTTATAACTCCAGAGATGGCTACACTGCAAGAAAGTGTGTTCTTAACTCAGTTAAAATAGCAGTGAAGACAAGGTAATCTGGGGATAGGTGGTCCCTCAACGCTTGGAGTGCAGCCCTGGCTCTGAGCGCAGCCTGGGTGAGCAGAGCCCAGTGGTGGGAGACTCTGCAGCCCCATGGAGCTGAGTCTGGTGGTGGGAGGCGGGGCAAAGCCACTGGCCAGCGCTGTGCTCAGAGCCACGGCTGTGCTCTCAGTGGCTCTTCCACTGGCTCTCCCACCACCTCCTGCTGCTAGGCTGAGATCCATGGGGCTGGTAAAGCCGCTCAGAGCACAGCCCTGGCTCTCCCCCACCTCCCGCCACTGAGTTTCAATCTGAGTGGCTCCACCAGTCCCACAGAGTTGAGCCTGGTGACAGAGGCAGCGGGAGGCAGGGGAGAGCCACTGGCCAGGGCTGTACTCAGCAGCTCCGCCACTGGCTCTCTACTACCTCCCACTGCCAGGCTCAGCTCCATGGGGCTGCGGAGCCTCCAGCAGCCAAGCTGTGCTCGGAGCCAAGGCTGCACTCCAAGTGGCTCTACCAGCCCCATGGAACTAAGTTTTGTGATGGGAGGCGGAGGGAGAGCCAGTGGTGTAGCCACTTAGAGCATAGCCCTGGTGAGCACAGCCTGGCAGCGGGAGGCTCCACAGCCCCACAGAGCTGAGCCTGGCAGTGGAGAGACAGTGGCAGAATCATTTGAAGTGCAGCCCTGGCTCTGAGTGCAGCCCTGGCCAGTGACTCCGTCCCGCCGCCGGCTGCCAGGCTCAGCTCCATGGGGCTGCAGAGCATCCCACCACTGGGCTGTGCTCACCAGGGCTGCACTCAAATTGGCTCCGCCACTGGATCTCCCACCATGTCCAGCCACCCGCCCGAGCTCCTTGGGGCTGGTGGAGCCACTTGGAGTGCAGCCCAGCAGTAGGAGGCAGGGAGAGCCAGGGCTGTGCTCTGAGTGGCTCTGCTAGCCCCACAGAACTCAAATTGCCCTCCCAGCACTGCTGGACTCTTCCCAGGGGTGCAGGCCCCCAGATCTGCACACAGGATGACAGGAGGCTGCCAATGGTGCCTGGGGCCAGCAGCAGCACCAGTCTTCCCGGTGCTAGGTGCAGACTGCACCCAGCGCCGGTCCCAGGCAGCAGCGGTAGTCTCCTGTCATCCTGTGCACAGATCTGGGGGCCTGCACCCCTGGAAGGAGTCTGCCACAGCCCCACAGTGCTCCTGGGGGCACGGGACAGATCTGCGTGCGAGATAACAGGAAGCTACCGCTGCTGGCAAGTGACACGAGTTTTGCTTTTAGCAGTTTGAGGTGTGGTTTCCCAGAAACCCCTGCACCTATCTCTTTGAAACTTGGAGACTTCATGCCCTCAGAAGGGGCTATGACCCCTGCAATTTTCATCAAAACCAGGCAAGAAATGACAAAGTTATAGGCATTTTCATGATTCCCCACTATAGCCTAGGGGCAAAACATCGAAATGCGTCGAAACAATGAAACACTTTCGACTAAATGAAACAGAACAGTGCTTCAAAATGAAAAGAAATGATGAAATGAAACACTGTCCCATCAAAATGGTGAAACAGAAGTCAAAACAAAACCGTGCTATTTCGCACAGCCCTAGAAAATAGGTTGAGAACCACTGCTCTAATCACACCTTTGTGACTTGGAGAGAAAATTGTTGCAAGTTTCCATGAACAAGTCTTTGTATAGATAGACTTGGGGGGCTGTGGGGTATGAACACCTTAAGTTTAAGACCACAGGATACCCACAGCTTGAACCCAAGCTGTTAACCCTAACTAGTACCAGATTAGCTTCTATTCACTGTTTGTTTTACCAGAGCTGCCTCAAACAGGTACACCAGCCTGAAGTCAGAACACGTTATTGTTTCTTTGCAGCACTGACATCCCTTGCAAATTATTTACTACTGTAATACCATTAACAGATCATATATTAGCATATCTTGTAACCAATGCTATCAAAAATAGTCAGAAAGGCAGCCCTTCCCAGTAAAGGAAGGAGTCCCCTCAGTTGTGACCCCTATCCTCAATCAGCAATGGGAGGAGAGAGGGAAAG